AGACAGAGGGCAGGAGAGAGAAGAAGGAACTAACTAAATAATGGAGCAAACAACTGCTGAATATTTGTGTGAAACATTTCTGAAAGGAGTCTCAGCAATGCTTTGTTAGAATGAAAGTGAGTCCAGAATTGAATCTTTTACCGGATTTTCAGCTTTTCAAAAGGACTATTTTTTTTGGCAAAACCTATGCTAAGAAGTTTTTCCATCATATATTCATCTAAGGGTAGCACAGTCTAACGTCTTTCACTTTGCTGCCTCTGGGGACTGAGGTTCAACTCTGGAAATAGGGTGCTATCTGCAAGGCGTTTTTATATCTCCCTGTGTTTGCGTGGGTTGCCACCCTCAGTCCAAACACCTGTGGATAGATCAATCGGTCCTGTTGGGTATCTGTGCCCTGTGCTACACTGGCTGCCTATCTAGGACGTATCCTGCCTTGCACCATTGCTTCCTGGGATAGGCTCCAGCCTAATCTGAACCTGAATTGGATAAACGGTAATTAAAAGTGATGCAATGTTGCAGTACTTATTTGAGTACGCAAACATGATATTGTTTAACTGCGTTTTAGTCAAAGCGTATATACTGTAATAGTGTCGCAGTAATAGGAAATTCAAAACTGGAGACTTTGTGGGTTAGAAAGTTGCTCAAAATATCTCAAGTTAAAAAAAAAAACCCTTACTTGGGGTGGGGAAAATTATCGCAGAGAAACTTCAATTATAAAAAGGAAAACAGACTGTCAGCCCCTAACAGGTAGAATTTTAGTAATCAGCAATGTAACACTGGTGGTAAAGACTGCTCGTCAGACAGGATAAAAATCATCTCTGGGGAAGAGCTCTAGACGTGAGAGAAGTGCAGCTCTGCCACTGACAGGTTTTAAACACGACCATTCACATGAAGCCCCTGCTATGAACCCATACCGCATGACCCCCCAGACAGAGCAGAATCCAGCTACACCAACAGACCAGGCCCCTCAAACCCAGGTTCATAGCAGAATCCTCCATTGTGTAAAATGTACAAATGTGAAATTACACCATCAAAAATCCTTTCTTAAACAAGGTATCTGGGACATGAGCCCAGTGTTCTGGTTTTAGAGATTGATCATAAAGATATAACAATGGTCCCTCAACACTTCAGCTGATGTTGCTTAGAAAATAAGTAAATAACCAGATGGATAAAATAATTTTAGAGATGAGGGCTTCCTGTCAAGTATCAGTGGGATGGGACCAATGGGCTTGGGATAATTATAATCCAATCAGCTCTTGCTAAAAGCTGTGGGACTCCCGTGCTTATATGCAAGTGCAAATATTTCTCTTTGTTGATGTACACCGAAAAGGCCACCACAGAAAAGTCATCCACACGAATTAAAGTAGCGACTCTGAATATGAATCTCCGGCCTGTCTTCAGTATGATTGCGGCCTATGTGTGATTTCTGATTCACACCCAAGCTTGTCCAGAGCTGGAGAAGGAGGCTTCTGACTTGTGCAGAATGACAATGGGGAATTCCACACCTGGGATAGGAAATGAAAAACTACATGTTCGTAAATAAAAGCTGCAAAGTAAAAAAAAAAAGTTTTAAAACTTTAGAGGAAATCACACAATGTCATAACTACAAAATGCTGGCATCATATGTACACGTGAAAAATAGTTTTGGGTGTAGTCGTTTCCTTAAAGCACTGTACTTAATCATGCACCTCACTGAAGGGAATCATATCACAGTCCGTTTGCATTGTTGCTCTTGACACATAGGGACATTACCAAAGTGAAAAAATGATGTGAACATCTGGGAACAACTACATTTCACCCTCACAAAAGTAGCCTTGCAGTCACAAAAAGCAGGCTCAGTATTTCACTAGAAAAAAAAAAAGATTCAGAAAAACAAATTCCAAATGATGCAATATTTTCAGACAGGCCATATACTCTAACACTGTGAGACTTCGCAAGTAGCTCATCCATTAAAAGCCTCTAGCTAGTGAGCATTAAAAACTTTAAATCTTTTTGTGTAAATTAAAACTGAATTAAAAAAATTAACATTTAATAACTTATAACAAAACCTACTTTAAATAGTAATATTTGGTTATTCACTTATAATATTAATTATTTTTTTACCTATAATATGTACATTCCTACTGTACTCACCTTCACCTTATAATTCACCTTATACCTTTTCCTATGATGAAGTTAGCTATAGTTTTTTTTTTTGCATTTAGCTATGATCATAAAAGAGGGAGATTGTTTTGTCTATTTCCAATTATTTTGTCTGTCATGTTTTCCATTCAGATTGTTTGAGCGGTCAATGCTCTGTGGTCAACACATAGCTGCTGTCAGGCTTTGACTGGAGGACTTGGTTCATATCATTCAGAGTATATAAACCCACTTGTGCCTCAGGCAAGAGAAGAAGGACTATAGCCAAAGGGCCCTGACTGCAGGCCTGGGGGAGACTCCATGAGCACCTTTTCTGCTCTACAGGCAAAATAACATAACAATAACATCCCATCCTGCCACTAAATGCTTTTATTTGAACATTTTCAGTCTACTATTAAATTTTCAGTTGAGCCTGCAATAATTCAAAACATTTGCTTATTCTGGCTTGGGCCACTGTCTTTTCTTTTGAATTTAGAGAAAAGAAATGAACCTTAAAAAGAGGAAAGTATACCAACGAGTTCATTTTCTTTTTTCTTCAAAATTTCTCCTTACAAAATGGAAACCGCTGGTCCAAATCTGGGCTGTGCCAGGAAGGCCCTTGTTACAATACTGCATGGAGATACACTGTCAGGCCTGGGCGAGTACCAGCCAGGGGATATTCATATTCTGCAGAGAAGCAGGGCTGCATTTTATGTTTTCTACAACAAAGACTTCAATGGGTTCACAGGACCATTCAGCTGTCCCCTGGCTAGAATGTTTTCCCCTTACTGTTTGAAAGTAGTGTCTGGCCTGCCTGACGAGCATGCAAGACTTCCTTCAGATAAGTCTGGTGAAGTCTGATAATATTAGGAGGTGAACCTGAAAGGCACAAATCATTTCATGGGGATGATAAAGACTGCTTTTTGACTCACAACAATTTAGGACACAAAATTAAAAAAGAGCAACCCAGAACAAATGTTGGTTGATTTAGTTTTGCATTGGAAACCGTACACTGAAACGTGCAGGCGACAGCTGACACTGCACATCCTGTTGTACTCACACTTCTTGAAAACAGGAAGTTAAACTTTCACAGATATTTCCATTTCAAGTGATATCCTGTAACTGGGTGTGACAAGAATTAAAATTTAATACTAGGAAACCTTGCTTAATCGTATCCCTTGGAAACGCGTGAAAGCTATTTGTATTATTATTAACCCACATCACAGCATGTGATGGGACAGGGATCTCCTTAGGTTGAGATACTTGGAAAAAAGTAAACCTTTTTCTCTTTTTACTTTTAAAAGTAAAACGTCTATTGAAAACCAAATGAGTAAACAACCCTCTGTGAGAAGACAGTAGATTCAGACAAGATGGAGACTCTTGTCTTAACTGTGTTCCCAAAAATGCTGTGGGGAATGACCTGCCACCCTAAGTCACCTGACCAAATGGTGTAACACAATTGGTCAGATGACGGTATAAAATTAGGAAGAGGATTCCAAGGCCAGTCTACATCTGCTAACTAGAGACAGAGGGCAGGAGAGAGAAGAAGGAACTAACTAAATAATGGAGCAAACAACTGCTGAATATTTGTGTGAAACATTTCTGAAAGGAGTCTCAGGGGCAGGCTTAATGTCTGGAGCCGTTAAGCAGCTTAGCTTCCCAGCTGAGCTCACAGAAAGGGCTCATAAAGAAATCAAGTTAAAAGCTCAAAGAGGAGCTAAGGCTTGCGTTTTGGTTATTTTGTTGCATGCTGTAAATAAAAGACCACTTCCACTGAACTAATGGCTGCTTTGCTCTGTTTCACCAAGAGCCTATCAGCATTCCTGTTTATCCAGTTGCTGCCACCGTGTGACATACACGTGAGAGGACCATGACATGAAAGACTGTTCAGCAGTCATGCAAACAACCAGATAACAAATGTAAATGGTAATACCACAACATGAAATGGGCTGCTTTAATACCACAGGAATAAATACTTGAATTTCTCAGGCAATTCCAGTTAGCAATATGGATTTTAAACTTCATTGTTTTGCACTGTACTATATATCGTGAACAAATAAGCCAGGTTAGGTTACTGACCCAATTCTGTTCAATGTCACCATTTGAGCTTAACTGATTACTTTTCAAATATTAAGATATGTCATATCTTGAAAAAGACTAGGCTGACCTGCATACACAGGAAAAACTGTTTCCAGGAAAACATTTCATCACAATTGTTCCAGAAACCTTATTAGAAAATGATTTCAGGAAACACTGATCCAATAGTAAAGGATCGTTCCAGCTGTTCAAACATGAAGCAAAATGCTGTCATACTAAAAGAGACAGCACTGATGGCTACACTTCAGCAAACAAGAGGGAGCTACGATCACTGAACCAGAACGGACTAAATGGGTCATTTAGATTCTGCAAGTCCAAAAGTAATTACAGACATCTTTGTAAAATTATTTGTAGTTACTTAATTTATAAACACAGAATTGTTTTTAGTTGCAGAGTTCTAAACAAATTCCATCTTAAAAAAGTTACATGATCAACAACGCACATGCTGTCGAGTTATACCTGATGGGCCAGAAACGAAACCTTTATGGAAAATGCTGTTTCAGAAAGCTTGTTTTACTCCAGGAAACACCTTGTTTCTGGAGAAATAGGATCAGGTGGAACGCGTAATGATACACGGTTTCCGCAAACATTTCCCTAGGCATCCTGTTGTTCAGTTCTGACCCAGAGTATATCCAGAAAAAACTGTTAGAGTCAGAGGCCCAAGAACACATTCCTTTCTTACTTCTGCTGCTTCAAAGCAGATCAAGTGGATGTTATGTACTAGCAAGAGGGAAAATGTATAATTGTGGTTTTCAAATGAAAGTGCATACGAAAAGATTCAGTTGTGCAATACACACCACTTGTGCCACGTAATTAACAACCAGCATGTCGATCCTCTTCTTTCCTAGACGATTTAAATGTCTGTTGATATGATCTCTTAGCTTGTCCACCATCTGAGTGAAAAGAATAGGTTATCAAAACAATACACGACATAACCGGTCTCCTCCTCAAGGTGTGGTGATATTACTTATTATTTACCAACTTTTACAAAACCCAATTCTGACAGACAGGTAAAGCAGCATAAAAGAGAAACCCTATCTGGTAAATCACAATATAGAAAAACTACAGTACAGTATATGCAGTAATGTACACCACACACAGCTGTACTAATTTGTTGTTTTTTTTAAGAAAAAAAGTTTTATCCACAAACACAACTGTGCAACCGAGCGTTAACCATTCCTGCCACATTACATGATTTCTGGAGGATTCCGCATTCTCTGTGACTGTAACGTAGTTCCACTGGATGACTTACCAGGCCTATCAGCGCCCTCTGCTGGAAATCCTCCTCCTGGAAGAGAGGAACTACCCTCTTATCTGAAAAGCAAGCAGAGAAGATCACGAATGTGGGACAGCACCTCTCACAGACCCCGTTAACTGAAACTTCTTTGAGCAAGTGTTTTAGTCACAGCAGAGCTCAGGAGTCACGGGGTGCCCCGATTCAACTTTCACCACGACAGCAAAGAGAAAACTGCCGAGCAGGGCGAAGACCAGCATGCCCTGAAGCGGCACGTATGAAACACTGATCCTGATGCCTTCTGGTCTGAGAACGAGCCGCTGGATCCAGGACGAGGGTCTTGAAGGCACTGCGAAGAGGAAGTGCCTCCAGTTCCTACCTGACATGATCAAGAACACTCCTTGTCGTTGCTTCAGGATTAGAGCCTACCTAAACACAGTAAATGTGCAAAAACATTCACAAGCACCACCAGGCAGAGCGCTGCATCCCCAAGCAGAAGGTAAAACTGAAAAGAGGAGATACATTTTCCACTTTCCACTCCTATTGCGTTTTACACAGAAACTGCAAGACAATAAACCTCAACATGTGACAGTCCACGCGAACATTCAAATACAGACCTTACATAGCTTCTCAAATATCTGTGAGCAGCCACATATTCAAAAACAAGCACTTGCCCAGGCAACTGGCTTAGATGAGTGCCCACCAGCCCTGTATGGCTGATCGTTTTCGACAAAATGTTTATCATGCCGTGGTAGCTGTATTCAAAAGAATGTCTCATGCAAAACAAGTTATAGTACCTGCCTAATAGTATGTTCACCTACACCCACCTTCCAACACATTGGCCAGTGGAAATCAAATCAACTATCAAGTCAAAGCTTCTTTCTTGTGTGGTTGCTGGAAAGCTGCTTCAGAAACCAACCAATCCCTTGAATGATCTTAATGGGCGTGTTAATGATCAATATTAATCTAATTACCGACTGGCACCGGAGTCGTGGTAGCTCAGACAGCAAGCTCCTGACTGGAAGGTCCTGGGCTCAATCCCAGGTAGGGGCAAGCGATGTAGCTTGCTCTTAATCCTTCCAGATGGCTCCCAGGTCCACCCACCCTGCTTTCCAAATGAGTACCAGGGGTTAATCCTTCTGGGGGTAATAGGCCGGCTGGAATGTGATGCTGACCACATCACCTCCACCTTCAGTGTCGGATGGTTGAGAAAAATAGTGGCCCTTGCCCCCCATCCCCCATGGGCCTTTATGACCTGAAAAGGGGACATAACCTAACTGACTGGCACCAGGAGGACAATAACCGAGTCATGCCAGATCCCAGGAATAACCCCCCCAAGAGGCCAGGGAAATGGACAATTTTAAATGACTTGCATGTTGGGTCTCTGAGCAGGTACAGTATGTTCATCTAATGTATCCTTACCCAAGTGCCAGGTCTCCACAATAGACAAAACCCTAAAAGAAGGAGGAAAACAAAGAAAAGTAAAAAAAATATTATTTCAGAGCGTAACAACAGCATTCTCTCTTGGCGTGGGCATTTTCCAGCCGGGCACAGACATTCCTGACCGTGGTTTCCAGAGCCATGCCAAGGAGCTGAGCATAACCGATTCTGAAAAACAAGGGGCACCTGGCAAGACTTGTTTTGCAAATTAAAACAGTCCAAATAATTTCTAGATATGTTACCTCTCATAAAACTCTACAAAATGCTAGAGCTGGGTGCACTTTTCTTACCCAGGAAACTGAGGACTGCTGTCAGCCCTTTTGGGTGCAAGGAAACTGGAGTTTTTATTAAACTGCCGGAAAAAATTAAGCCACAGCAATTATCTAAAGATTCTGAATTATACCATCATTTAATTGCTAAAAGAATAACACTTCTTACTTGTTTTTCAATTCATTCTGAGCGTCATTTTAAGTGGCCGCATGTTTATAAGCCAGACAGAGTTACTTTGATTAGAACACAAGAGTCTGTACAAGACGACAAATCGCTGGTTTTGTCCTCCATACACAACCTACAACATGAACACTGTGTTCTGCACATGGCCTGTTCCACCTACTTCTTGGTGTTCTCTTGAATGTTTCGCAAGTAGCTGGTAGGCTTCTTTTCATCAGAATTCTAAAAAAAAAATACACATTCAATACACAACAAAGCATTTATTTAGTCTTTCAGGCACTCTGCTTAGCAAACTCTATTAATGCATTCCTTCTCCTCTGCCAAGAAGCACTGCACATTTTTTAGAATTTGACCACATTATTCTTTCCGTTATCATCTCTGCTCTGATTGTTCTATGTTCCCAAAATATGTTTGCAGTACAGGGAACCTGGTTTTACGGTTTCATTATTGTTATTATTATTATTAGGATGATTATTAATATTTTTACTAAATTGTAATCAAACAGGCTTTTTTTTTCACAGAGCACATGTGATCATAAATGTTCATTTTGTAAAAGGAGTGTGAAAAAAAATGCAAGAAATATTTTGGATATAGGTCAAGAATTAAACACACAGCATTCTATTTTTCCTGTCAAAGTACATCCATCATCTGTCTGAAATGTCTGCTTAACTATGCAGCACGCTTGAGTTAATGTAACTACAGTTGTGACACTTAAAACAGTATATAAACGACGATTAGATTTTGTATTAAAATGTTATTAAATAACTGAATATTTTTTGTTGGTTCCAAATCTGAAGGAAAAATAGGGGGTGATTCTATTTCTAAAACAAATGATAAGAGTTCTTCAAGAGGAAGTGAGGAAGTGTGCACAGTCATTCACATCATTGACAAGAATCCCTCAGCACGCAAAAAGAACAGAGAGTCACATAAAACATACAAGGGAAGCAAAAAAAAGAAGTGATCCATCCTTTCAACAGAAGCAGGAGCACTGTGGACTAGACTGTTTCCCTTGGTGACAATCAAAAACAATACACCCAGTTTCTCCACACAACAGACCCAAAAATAAATTCAAGCATCTACATCCAGTAGCTTCAATCTTTTGCCATTTTCATTCTTACCATTTCAGCCCACAGCCTGTTCCAGTCTCTGGTGATCAGAGCGGGTTTGTATCGTGGATTTGGGACAGCCTCGAAGTACTTGATAGAGTCTATATTGCAGTGCAGTTCTTCCCAATACCCTTTGAGATTTTTCGCCTGTAATGCCAAAAAGTGTCAAAACAGTTTAGATAAAGCACACGTGTGAAAATCTTGCAGACTGTATTGCAGAGCAAGGAACTTAATTGTTATCATATATGAATGGAGTAGGAAGACACAAACTCAAATGATCGTTAGACTGAAAATTGCCTGCAGTTTTAAGTCTCAAGTTTGCCATTTACCGCCCCATGATATCTGCTGCCATCTACTGGTCAGGAGTGTATAACTCACCTCCCACACCACAGCATTTCCTTATCAGTCCCTGGCCTTCAGCTTTGCATTCTCCTACTCAAAACTGAGTTTGTAGAGTCATTTGCTCAGATAGTTTCCAGCTTAGCTGAATATTTCAGCTCAATGGAACATTTTCCCCACTTTACGATGTTTTTTAGGAGCAGAACATATATTGCAAATAAGTTGCTGTGTGAAGGATCTGACCTTTCCCCTGAAGACTGGCTCCAAGAGAAGTTCTGTACTGCAGGTCACTCCAGGGACTCCCTTCAAAGAGACAGACATCTGGTTACCCTCCAGCAGTGCTGTGTGACAGTACACATCTCAAGGTTGCTGGCGAAGACGCCAGATGTAGCATTACGCTGAAGAACGGCCTGATGGCTCTCTGCAACACTTAATGAATGAAGCAGGCCTCACCTCTTCCCAGTGTGAGAGTGATGAATATGGAAGAACTCTATCCAGAATGAAAGACTGCTGGCGGCTTCTTCTATACAATGATGCTGCATTTGCAGTGAAAGGAAAAAAAGAATATCAATATCTCCCTCTTCCCACACCAAAATAATGCTAATTAATATTTGCCCCCCCCCCCAAGAAGATGATACTTACCTAGAATAAATTCTTGAATTTGATCAAAGGAGTCAAAGCTCATCACATTTTCACATAACCAGTGTATAATCTGGAACAGAAAAGCCATGTTACACCGTAGCCTTTACTCATAAAATAACCAATCTGGGTTTTGTTATTTAGCTATAAATGCAAAGTAAAAACAGTGTGGTGAGAGCTAGACTTGTTTCATGACACTGGCATAGATTTTTTCAAAGCTCACAATGGTCATCACTTCATAGAAAAACGCTAAACTCCAATGAGGGGCTTCACAATAAGGAAAACAAATTCTCTTCCACCTCAACTGACAGACAACAGTTTTCTATCAAACCATCTTTCATGACGACCGGAAAATCTATTTTGTTCCTTTTCTTCATTTACCATATTTTAGCTTACACTGCACTGAGATGTGGAAACTATTTTGACTTCACCTACTGTAATTCTAGATCTAAAAAGGCTCAAAATAAATCCACAGACGACAGGAACATGGTGAAGGGGGGAAAAAAAAGCACATTTAATTTGACTACGCAAGAGGAAGGCTCCACAAACACATACAGTACAATGAAGTTCAGGTCATTGCTACTGTGTCTCACCTGCAGTTCTACATCTGTCTCTGGTGTGAGGTAAGTGACAGCACAGTGCAGAGCTGCCAACCTGTGGCAATCCAGTCTGCTTCTACACAGAAACTCCAGCAGGAGCGAACTGGATATAGTTGCTTTAAACAAGGTCCCTGACTGCACCTCTAGCAACATAGCTTCAGGCAGAGAAAGGATTGTGCTGTCGGGGCCTAATGAGCATAGCCTGGCATCTTCACCTGGAACAGAGAGAGGTCAGAGAAGCTGGGAGCTATGCTCTAATGCTCAAAAGATGTTGTGTACATTCAGGAAGACCCTGTAGACGACACACCTTCCTGCCCACTGGGGCCCACGCTTTGGACTCGCAATGAACCTCATCTTAGAGACAGAATCTTCTGGCACTTTCTCGTACTTGTTGCTTTTCCTTCCCTAATAAGGTGACACGTCCACCCACATTCTCATAGCAGAGTGAGCTGCCGTGGCCAAAACCGCCACTGCTAAAGACTTGACAGATAGCCAGGATTAAACAGAACTCCTGAAAAGCCCCAGTCAAAGAGGTGTCTTTAAATATTTTGCAAATTGGGTGATATACTGTGAAACAAAAATACTGAATTCCAACAAAAAGAAGCAGAGTTATTAGAACTACAAAATTGTTTGGCGGTTAGGCTGCTGTCTTACAGCCCTAGGTTCCTGGGTTTCATACTGCCCTGGTTTGTACTCATCTCATATGCTGTCCCTGTGTTTACATGTTTTTTTGGGAGCTCCAGCCTCCTCTCACCTTCCAGAAGCATGCTGGCTACATTTATTGGTGGCTCCAGATTGAAGGAAAAAAAACCCACCTCTTCTAAGAAGGTGACAGCTCTCTAAAAAGTCCTTCAGTCTTACCTGTCAGGAAGAGGCTGTGGCAAAGCAAGTCAGGCTGCCTTATGTTGATGAAGTGCAGGAAGTGACCAGGCAGACATACAGCTATATAGTAATCTGTGAAGAAAATACTGTATGATGTAAGCTAGCACATCCTGCTTTTCCTTATTCAGAGATCAGTACAATCAGTACATTAAGCATTTGCAGGAAAGATAATCTGCAAAATAATATCTGACTTGTTTAATTTTCAATGTGATACTTAAAGATGTGCTACATCCCATTGGAATAAAGTATATTTTAATCCATTATTACGACACATACACTTGACACTGTTTAACCTTTAGTACATTTTGAAATAAAGGTTTTGTTTCTATTGAGGACTACTTGGTATACATGTCTATCATGAATCCATATGGGCTGTTCGCTCAGCTGTTCAGAAGTAGCATTAAATAATGCAAAAATTGGCTTGAAAGCGATTCTTACTTAAATTTGACCACTAAATACAAAGGATATTCTACTGATAGAGTTACTACAGACTGGGCATCAGTGTGCTTTTTTCAATAATCACTTAATCATTTAGAAACTTAATGGTCCTATTCGATATTACTCATCGCACTGCAATGTTGTTTGGCTCTATTAGCAAGTGCATTGACCCTCAGTTTCAGAAACAATATTGGCTATTTACTGCACAGTCTATTTCACCTCAGTGCACATGAGGGAACTGTTCTGGCAATGTCTCTCATGCAGGCACTGACTGCTGTGCTACTGGTTTATGATATGTGAAATTGCTGGTTTAAATTATGTGAAAAGCAGAAAACTGAATTAAAATGAACTAAGCAGCACAAAGGAGCAAAAACATAGCCCTCTTGGTGCAAAGTTGAAAGAAAACTGATGACATCGCAGGCAAGTTTCAAAAACTCCTAAAGCTTCTTTTTATCCGTAGCCTAGGAACATCACTGAATGAAGTGTGAATGTGTACAGCACTCTCTTAGCACTGCTTGTCAGTAATGACTCGCCACAGCACTCCTTCTCCTGGCTATTATTTGTAATTACTCCAAATACACCTGCGGGAGATCAGAATATAAGTCTGTGACAGAAGCAAGCTAGAGTGCACTCAGTGCAGGTTGTCATGCATCCTGTTAATATTTCTGCTTAAGGCAAGAAGCAATGAAAAACCATTCACAAGCTCTTAGCCATTTGGAGATGGCCAGTGCCATTTGTAATCGCTCGCCTGCTTGTCTGTGTGCAGTGCTCCACTGTGATCACATGCAATTCACTTAATATTTACTAATTCAATTAATATTCCTGTGCACTATAGCCCGATACAGCTCTGCCCATCAGCCTTCCACTGCTGCCAATTGGAATCAAGGCACACAAGCTGAAAATGAATGTATCTGTGCAGAGCCAAACTGTCCTCTGCAACTATATAGTAATTTAGAACTAAAACTTCCCTCTGTATAAAGATGGATGTTAAAATATCAGTAATGGCATTTACCATCACCTCAATGAAGCCTTAATGCATGGCTTCTATGTAAGAAAGGCCACTGATTTCTGACGCAACGTCATTGAAAAACGTGTCTGTTAAGAGGCTGACACTCAGATGAGCGCCATCTAAGTAGACTGCAGTTTGTTCCAGAGCACTGGACCACTCACCCAGGCTAATGAGAACCAGGTCTGTCCTTTGTGGAGGTGCAGCTCTTTCCATTGCAACTCTGTAGGTCTTACTGCACCCTACAAGGAAAAAGGTGCCTTGAAATTTGAAATGCACAAGTGAAGTGGCTTCTTGCACTTTGAAATCTTTAACTCAATTTTCATATGGATATGCGTTATTCAAATACAGTACACATAAACGGTTCTGTTCTGCTTTTCTTTCTCAGAAGAATGAGGCCAACACATATTTTTAGATGGAGTTCTGGGTAGATGTTTTTCCCCCAACAGGACATAAAGCTACTCCTCCTTTCCCACACACCTTTTCCTGTGCCTGGTACTGATGCATTCAGAACAGCAAGCAAATGGAAATCAGTCCAAACCGAATTAGGATGTGAGTCAAATGAATTCTTCTCTGCCTGTTGCCCCTGTCTAGCATGAGCAAACATCTTTTGAAAACCTCAGATACTTTGCAGAAAATCAATCTGCTCTTTTTAGTTACATTTTTTCCCCTCTTCCTGGTTGTATGAACGACATGTGGCGTTCAAAGGCCAGTGCCAGCCTACTGCATGGCAATACAGTGAATCTAGAAGCTCACCTCTATGTACAAAAGCAATAGTGTATGCGACGTCCTCCCCAGTGCACACTGGCTGGCAGTAGCACACACACATGCTTCCTAAATGAGACAAGAAAATGAGAAGCAGCAGTTCCTCCATGGTTCGGAACGAGATCTTAAGTTACTTTCAAATTATTCAAGCCTTTAACAATCAAGCTGAGAAGATGCAGAAAGTCGTTTCAACAGGCAATTCTTCAGACAAAGAGAATTAATCAAAATGTCATCCTATTAAACTGACCATTCTAATTCCCTCTGATGTGCTCCAATGAAGATCCACTTCTTTGTAGGACAGTGTAAAAACGTACTGGTAGCTAGAAAGAAAATGGGCTACATCGGCACATGCTGAACTACATCCAGTTTTCTCACTTCCAATTTAATTCGAAAATGTTCATTTACTCTACTTGTTTTGGCTCTGGAAGCTACATGTGCATGAAAAATAAAATTTGAAACCGTCATATATAATTAATGACAAAATAACTTGTCAGTGCTTTGTCGTTGTACAGTGCAGCAGCGAGACGACAGGTCGAGACCTAAGCGCTAGGCTTCGAGGATCTTCAGCAGATTCCGGAGAGACGAGAAGGAATAGAGAGAGAAAAGTAAGCGCAGACGGGCTTAGGTTTGGGGGTTGCGAAAGCTGCAGTTGCCGTGTGTGGAGAAGAAGGAGGAAAGCCAGAGGAGGGGATCTATGTGGGGAGAAGGCCGTCGGGGATATACAGGCAGCGGGACTAGCGGAGGGCTGAGTTTCAGAAGTGCTGGCGAAAGGGATACTTAGAAAATTACGAGTGGATCGGTGCTTGCTTGATAGTTAAGGGAAAAAGTCGTAATTTTAAGACGCGTGTAAGCCGTAGCCTTTAGCGCTTAAATGTCAGCGCACTTATCTAGTGGAGAGTCTTGCCTTAAGTAGCCTGCTTAACGATATGATTGACTGCCTGACTGATAGATATGTGGTCTCACGGAGAGGCGACCTGATCTCGTCTGCACGGAGCTGGTGGAGAACCGAATCCCTGTGCGAATGTGCTAGCTACCATTAGCCCAGGCTTGACCATCAGGACAGTGCTTACTACAAGTGCCTCAGTGTAATAACTTCATATACTGTATTTACTGTGTGTTTGATCGCCTTGATGATATCTGTGTGTAAACTTTGGAGGCTGATTTGATTTGTACACATGCATTTGCGTTTCTTAGATTTTTTGCTTTGGAAACCCACGTAATTTGGAGGATTGTGAGCATTCAAGTCCATGAACACCCAAAAGACAAGATTCCAGTGCTTATATTGTATACATTGCGATTGCCCCAGCATATGTATTTATTTTTGTGGCTGCGCATCCAGGACAGAACCCATGGGATATGGACACTCTGGGTCTGGGTAAGCAGTGTTGTTTGTGATCTGAACAAGATTGTGTGAGAGGTGCTTCTCCGGTGGTGGGAGTCTAGCATTGGCTCCAAGCAGACAGATCCCCTCACATCATCTTTGGCACCACCTCCAGGGAGATCTATAAAACAGGTCCCACCTGAGTGGGCTGCTTGTCGGAGTCGGAGTCTCATCAACACTCCTTTTACATTGGATGTCTGTTTGTGTTCAATGAGCTCTCTAATTCTGACTTGTATCATGACCCTAGAGAGCACTGCTGGTACTTTCCTGCCTCAACATCTTTAGAACTTTCTGAAACATGCTGTATTGACACAAGACAAGACAAGACAAGACAAGACAAGATAAGACAAGATAAGATAACTGCAAGTATCTTTGGAAAAACTGTGCTCACTAGACAAATACATGAACAAGAAGAATCCATAAGGCATTCACCCTCGGCATTCCCCAAAGTTTTGAATGAATTGTTTCACACTGTGTTAAACCTGTAATAATTTTTTCTCAAAAAAAGGAAGTCATATGCATAATGTGAGCACTGACTGCTTGTACTCCCACCATCAGGTGGCCTCAAACTGTTTAAAACTGGTCCATTTAAAGCCTCAGTCATTAAATCATTTAATGAAATAGGAGTTTACCTGCTTTGCTCATGAAAATAACCAGGTTCAGACTCCCATCTGCTTCCTCCTCGTCTTTGTAATGGTCATAACCAAAGTTGATAAACCTACAAATTTGAAAAGCAGTGTTATTATTTTGACAAAATAACTGTATTAAAATCACTTTGCAGCTAATTTGATTCAGTTTTCATACAGTAGCAAATGCACAATAAATTCTTTGTAACACTGCCAGACGCAGTGTGCTGCTGGTACCCAGCATAACAGTTTAATTCACACAAAAAATGAAGCGGTTATAAATGAAGTGGCAATAAATGATGGAAAAGTTACTATGGCTTTTAGAGGAATAGCAAGGCGGATCATACTAATTACCTCACAGAGGCAAACGGACTGGCAGGAAGATCCAGGGAAAGTTCCAGCTGAAGCAAACGGACAAGAACACTCGGTTTTACATGGAGCTGAGTTCTGCAACATCTGATCTTCAGCTGCACATTGTGGCACTTTTTCCATGCTTTTTTTTAGGTTAACAGTCAGATAACAGCTTTTAAGCTAAGTTTTAACATGCATTTTAATTAGCGTGGAAAAATAAAGTTCTTTCACTTATAACAGAAGCAGAACAGTCTTACCAGTGTTTCATAGATCCGGTCAGAATAAAACTGGACACATCTAAGGAGTGATTTTTCCTGTGGAGAAGACAGACTGAACAATTACCATCACCAACTTTATATGAAGAGTAATCAAAACTATATACAGATTTACTTATTAAATAATTCACTACAAAATGAAAAAAATAATGAATAGCAGTTTGATTGAGATTATATTCATTGTGTGTCAATGCTGTAACTAAACAGAGCTAAGCAAAATAATAAATAATTGTACAGAAATAAGTAATTTCACAGCACTCTTCTAAAAGGCTTTAAACAATGAACTCTTAAATAACAGACAACACTGTATAGGTAGTGTGTGCAATCAGTTGAGGCAGAAAGAAAAACAGTACACCACTTTCAAGTTTTAAAGAAAAAACTTGCAGTGTTTCAAAATCTACTAGTATCACAAAACACTGTTACCACAATAGCAGTACAACACTCTACAAGAGTCTTATTTTTAAGACTTAAAAAGTTTATAAAATACCTCTATATTAATATAAAAATGCTTCATGTTAAAAGAAGCAAAAAAATATCACATCTTATAATCTAAAGTAACTAACTTATGACAACAGGTTGGTTTCACAACCCACTGGCGTTCAGAAGCCAGTTGTAATGAATGGGAGACGAACTGGTTTACCTTCACAGTGAGGTAGAAGAGTCTTTGTGTGTCCACATTCCACTGCGCCCAAGTGAAATCCTCAGCCACCTTCTCCTTGGGCAGGCGGTTGGGATTTTGAATAACCTGGAAAACAATCTCACCTTACTGGAAAAGTGAAAGTTTAAGGAGTGGACATTTCTACAATTGCTTTCCAAAATCCGTACAATATCCAGGCTATTGTGATGAAGATTTGGTTTTAGACTTGAAGTATCCAGCAATTACTGTACCCCTCAAGAACACAGTAATATTCTTACCACTCTGTACCCTTCTTCTGTGGCCAAGCTTATATGAAACAGCTCAACATCTGTAAATGACGAGAGTAAAAAGAAATACACTCAACAAGCACAAACAAAACGTCTTTCTACAAGATTGTTCGAGACACGTCTGGTCTGGATTTCTCTTTATGTACAGTAGATTTGGAAACCCACAGGTTGTTTTGGAAATAACTGTGCTGTTCAAATAAATGTGTTAAATTAATTCCATGCATACCTTAACACTAGGGGTAAAACAAAACAATGAAATATAAGAAGACCAGCGATTCTTTTTTTTTTCCCAAAAAAATGTTATTTAAAGCAGAACGACTCACAAACTTAGATGAGTTTAAGATTGTCCAAAAGCTTTTGCTTGGAAATGGGAAGCTATTGCATCCTCACCGTCTTAGTGAGGCGAGTTGTGTACCTAGCGGAGCAGAGTCAGGAAAAAGCAAGCTAGGTTAGGATTCTGGCTCCGGGGGTTTCAGGTTTCAGGATTCAGGAAACGCTCCACAGAGACGTGCTTGGTGTCCTGGAGTTCTCAGGTTTAACCAGTTCAGGAGTTTCACTTCACAGTTCAGGTACTTACAGCTGTCTTCCGACATCAGCAGCAGGTGGCTTTCATGTACTCGGTTCTTTTCCACATCGGGATACAGAAACTGCCAAACGAAACCGAAGAGAAATGACTCTACTGTATGTTCTCAAGCGAACATTGTCAAGTTCGTTAACAATGACCACAACAGCCAGGCCCACGATTAAAAACGATATTCATATCAGACTGCATAACAATGAGAATCTGGCCGGGACAATAATGAACTTGATCCTGTGACTTTGTGTCATGCCATCCATACCTTTAGATTTCAGATATGCTGTCCTCATCATTCAGTTTCAGGTCTCCGGGGTTCAATGTACTTCACATTCTCGTTTAAAACCACTGTTCTAGTTTTAAGATGTGCCTTCCTACAGTAATTCTGTCGCAATCTCAGAAAGACAGAGAAGGCTCATTCCGTGTCTCTTTCCAGACATTCCATTCAGCACAGAAGAATGCAAGCAAACAGAGGGCGGTGAAACACCCGTCACACAAATTATCTGAAAAATACCTGAACTCTTATCCGACAGTCAACAGCTTTCAGGACTTTCGTGTTGTTTAACGGATGAATCTCGATGAGTAGCGTTATACATTTGGAATCTGTTAGAAAAAAGGAAGCATTCCAGCTTTTAGGGAGTCTCTTAAGCTATTTTACTACCCGAACTGGTAATTAAACTGAGCCTGATTGCAGCTGAATGGACTAGACTCGCCTCTAATGTTCATGCTCAATTCAATCACACTGAACCATGTAAGCAGTGGAGTTTGTGGTGAAGAGGCTGGGAAAGACAGAGAGCTTGACTTGCTTCAAGCTAAACAGATTCCCTGATTATTCGCTGTGATTTGATAGTTTTGATGGGGCAATAACTGTTCTGAAATGGGACTACTGCTAGTTCTAAAACCCCAAATATTGTCTTCTTTCTACTATTTATAGTGGAATTAACCCCTTCTTGTTCATTATAGTCAACATAAAACAGTAGTGTTGTGAAGAGCATTAAAATTGGAAGTAGAAAGAAGGAATTTGGAAGTAGTGTTTGTTGTGCTGCAGTAGAAAAAACTTGTAGAGTTGAGTGTTAATGAATGGGGGAAACGGTGGGTTCCCACTGGTTAACAACCCATCTCTTTTAAATGCAATAACAATAAGAAAATTACAAGAATGGTGTCAGATTGATGTGATAGTTTAGGTGTGACCTTTCCACACATCAAAAAGTGGGAATTTCCAAACTACAGTCTTTATGCCAGTGGACCGTGTCTTTCTGATAGTTGAATTTAATCAAAAATTTTAAAAATTCTGAATCGTCTATTCTCTATGACTAACATAATGTTTAGCCCTTCTCGCAAAGACTGCTTCCGGATACAGAAAGCACAACTGACATTTTGCATTTATTCAACCAACAACGTACGCTAGAGAGTAGTGAATGAAGCAACACTGACCAACAACAATAGAAACGAGTTTGCAGATACAGTACAGTACCTGGTCTGAGGGGCTCTCTGTGTCCATCTCTCTTTGTCTTCTGCACAACACTCACCGCTGAAATAAAGGAGGGATGAGATCAAAACCCCTTGCAAAACAAGGGCAATAGCAGCATTGGATTTCAAACTGCACATACAGTACGCAGAAGGACATGGAGTGGAAAAAACAAATCAGGTAAACAAGTTTCTCGTAGAGTAGGGGCCAGAGCGCTTTATCTTCACAAACCATAGCATCTTATACAAACTCTCAGCTCATACAAACGGTCTCATGATCCGTAAGAGGAACATGAGACTGGCAATAACAGATGACAGCTGAAGACACAGTAGTTACGAAGAAAATAACTGACGAATTTGACTCATTAAGGGATTCATTAGGTCTGGTGCTCTGAAGTATTTGAGAAGGAGGCCTTACCCAGCAATGTTTCTTCTTTGTTTACTGAAGTGCTGCTGACACACACCTCCTTGTCAAAAGTGTACAGAAGCTGTGAGGAGATAAAGCAGTCTTTATTACTCTGCCACTACATACTGTACAGTACTTCAGGCAATGTGAGAGGGAATAAAGCACACCTCTCGGAGCATACCTTGTTCTGCTTGATCTGGGGGTCATATTTTCCTATGTTAGTGGTCCCTGATGTTCCCTGGTAAGTCATAAGGACACAGTTAATTCAACACCATAAAAGGAAATTTACATTTTTAAATGACAAAGAACTAAACTGTTTTTTACCGATAGGCAACAATACCTATGCCTTAAATACAAGATTAGGGTTCGTAGCATGCCTAAACTCAGTGACCACATTCTTCAGGTCCTACGCAAGATAATTAAAAGGCTTTTAAAAAACAATCTGCCGTCACTTTGTGGTTTAACAGTAAATGTGTTACCTACAGAATGAATTTGAAGTCCGTGCAATCAAACATTCAACAAATTCAGAATTGCCTTTTCTCTAGGATTGACATAATGTTTAGCCCTGCCCCCAAAGACTAGCATTATGCATTTAGCAAATGAAGCTAAAGAAAAAAATCAGGGAAAAGCTAAAGATCCTGTGTACTGTATATTTTATTGTAAATAATAGTTAAACAAATAACAGACAATGGGTCTGCATAGGTTAGCAGGAAGACATTTCACATTACAGAGAGCATTGCATATGAAGAAGTCCTCAGTTCAAACCCAGGGACCTCATCTATAGCATGTGAAGTTTTGTGGGAACCTCAAACACGCAACCCAGTCATGTTGTTGAAACTGATGCACTGGCTTCTTTCAATTAGCCAATTAATAACTACTAACAAAATGGACTAGATATCCAAATACTCTGATTTGTAAGCTTTTATAAAAGTTTTTACATTCAGTAATCTCATTTTCCCATAATTTGCATAATGTTTGCCATTTGTTCTGCCTCAGTTTCACATAAATCATCCTTATGTATACCAGTATCAAGTACTGAAGGATGAAGGGGTTTAGAACCCATCCCTAAATGGCTCTAACTCTAAATCTATCATCAACTCATTATTTACATTAAATGTATACCTTCCACGCATACAGAATGCTCCCATCCCTTTCAATGTTGACCACCTTTACTCCTGCTTCAGTTATCCTGGAGGATAATCCTGAAAAACGATTAAACCACGATGAATACATCAGTAAAAAATAAAACTGCAAATACAAATTAAAGGAACTGTTTTATAACCCCTTTCTTTGTTGGAGTGAAAGTATTTAATTATTTCTTGAAAGCAAAGTTGAGTATATAGAAATTAAAAAAAGATACAAGACGGGGCTTATTTTACAAACTATGCTATGCTTTAGAAAAAAATAAAGTTTTGTTAACAACAACACATTCAGTAGTGGTGTATTGGAACAAATGCGATAAGTATAAGTATTCTAAATCACAAAAATATTTTAAAACGTTATTTAATACTTGTCTAAAACTTCTTTGTTTTAACTTGCCTAAATGCATCGATACAATCGGTGCTAATACAAATGAGCAGAGTGCACTTTCTTTTTATTAGACCAAAAGAAACTCTGGGATATATTATACAGAAGGTACTTGCCTCTATCACTTCCAGATGCACCATATTTTCTCAAGATAATGGAAATAACATCTTTCTGAAGATCAAAAGTCGACTGTAAGTTCAACATGTGAGCAATCCTTTTCAGCACAACTTCCCTGTACGTCACAGGTACTCAAGGTAAGTCGCACCAGCAGAGTGTTATACAGGCGTACTGATATGACATCTCAACTTAACAACCTAGAAGAGCCTTTAGCCAGTTTTGTCTGTTACAATCTCCAGGACGATGACTGGCCGTGTCCCTAAATGCGCGTCTAATTTAAAAAAAAAATCGCTCTTCTCTCCTCACACTTACACAAAGGATACTTTTGTCGTTCTTTACAAAACACCCCGATCCTCTTCTCACTCATTCACGTCCACACAACACAGCTCTATTTCCCCCCTGTTTAACTCCCTTAAACCCTACCCTTATGTTTACACAGCTCATGTTTACCCACTGATTGGTCAATGGAGCAGTCAGTCAGGGAAAGTAAAGCAATCAGGACATCCTCTACCAGCTGGGTCATCTGATTCGGAGGAAAAAAAGTACATCTGCGCCGTGAAAAAGCAGAAATCAGAGATTTTCTAACGATTGATTGTTGAGAATGTTTAATGTCTCATCTTCTGTCTGTCTCAATCCCCTCTTCCGGCTGTATAATCTACCTGAAGCAAAGGGTGTTGAATACAGTATGTTCACGCCGACATTTCATAACAGAAAACACGTACAAAAGATTGGAAATAATACTTCGTTTCCGGGACAGCCAGTTTTACTGTACGCACGCAAGTGTCGCCGTGCCCACTTCAATCAGACCAGCACACGGGATCTTAGAGAGAACAAAACCAAAACACGGCCATCATTAGATTTCAACAAGCGTACTTGTGTTACCACATGCTGTACATGTACAGTACAAGTAATTATGAGTGAGATACTATACGGCGCCTTGAAATCTGAAACATCTAAATGGTGTAAAGTATATTTCCATTATATTTGCTTCGTCACAGTGGGTCTCGGAATGATGTATTTATACATGGAGTTTTTTCGTAAATTGTTTATGTGCTGCAGTTCGCTTTGCACATAAAAGCCATGTGTGCTACCAAGTTAAAGCATCCCAACAGACATTACAATGCAAATTATATGATTTAATGAAGCGTGCGTATTATTCAACAAAGATTTATTATTGATGTATTATTTATAACTATATTAATTCCAATGCACCATGCATGCTTATAGTATTAAATATGTTCAACTATTGTGAATTCTAAGTTCTTGTTACAATGTTTTCGTTATTAAAAAGATCATTGGTTTCCAGTAATCCTATTTGACGTTTTTCTTGCCTTGTAGTTACATGCTGTTTTTTTCCATTATCGCCACTAGATGGCACTTTTGACACGAGCACTAGAGACGTGCCTACCGATAGAACCAAATGACATTTTAAATTTTCCAAGGTGTTGTATTATTGGACTATGATTACTTTGTTATCGATTTATCTCCTGACTTAAGTGTAATATTGTACATCATATAGTTGAATACACAACCTAAAAATAATTGTCAACAAATGGGATACAGATTTGTACTGTGTTGTGCTCTGTACACGTATTATGATGTTTTTTTTTTATTTGCCACTAAATCAGAGCTTTAATACATTTTGCATTTGTAGGGTTGAAAAATAGTCACATTTGGACAGCATCTCCTTCTTTCTTATGTCGTAGGTCCTCGCCACTGAGAATGTTTTTTCACTGTACAACCTGTCTCCTGTAACATTGACACTTTTGGTGTTTTATTGCCATCACGGGGGGGGATAAGACGATTAAAAACACTAGGCCTGTGATTATTTCAATGAACAGGAACATACATTTACCAGAAACTTTATTCAGGACACGCCATAGATGGCATTAAAAGGAATTAGTGTTGCTGTTTGTATCTGGTGCACAGTCTCTTTAATTCTTTAAATCTTCCCAGGGGGATTTATCTGTATTTAGATCTTGCATTATATTATTATTGATATTATTCAGTTCACAAAACCACATCCAAGACAAAGTCAGATGGGCAATAAACTATTTCAGTTTTGTTTTCCAATGGCAGTTGTCAGTTTGACTCCTTGACGCTTTGGGTATGGTTTCTGATCACCTACTACAGCTCCTTGAAATGAAAATAAAAATAGCCCCTCGACCCTGAAAGGCGTGACTCGTCAGATCGGTCCCCCCGTGACGTCGCCTCATGCCGGGGTCCGTCCCCTCATAGAGCGCTGCCTTCGTCTCTAATGGGGTTTCTTTGTCCGCGCACAGTAAGGTATTTTTGTTGGATGAATCTCGAAATAATGCGCGATCTTTCAAAACCCAGTTTTCTGACCTATATGTGTGATTGTATCAGCAAACAGTATGTATGTATATGCATTTAAGCACTTTGTACATAATGTAGAATACTCAATACTCTTCTAAACGTATAAATTAACTACATATTGTGAACAGATGAAGCAGTATCGTATACAGAATGAAAGGCTAATACACCAGCTAGTATGAAGTTCACAATACAGGCATGCCTGGCCAAAGGACAGGAATTATTGCACTTGGGGGGGTAAAATAAATATTAACAACATCTACTGAATAAAGTGGAATCCATCCTGTAAGAATGTTAACTGCATAATCTGTGCAATACACAACCAAGTGCGCATACATTTCCTGGTATCTAACATGTTTCAACCTGAATACTATGAGGCCCTCTAACAAAAATTTACCAGATGTAAAATAAAATAGATTTTAAAGGTAAACCCTAACTTGAAAAGTTTTTCTTTTTAATTAGTTTTTTTTTCACCATTTCCTGACTGGAATACCAAAGGAGTCACTGATGTATTTTACCATGACTGTTCGTAGTAAAAGCATACAGAAGCATCATTTTCTGACAGCTGCATCAGTAACTTGGGGACAAAGTGCTGAGAAAAGGTGTCAAACTCTCTGTGGGCAGGGAGTGTGTAAAAGGCCTTTTTCTTCTGTCCTACCAGTGAGTTAATACCTGCACAGCTGTGCACACTGGTTGCACTTTGCACTGAACACCTGCTAACAAACATCAGAGGAGAATATTACCAGTGCTTTGAATTGGTATTGTCCTCTGTATTGGCATTGATACTCATGCCTCATAATGATGATCTATGCATGGACAGGTTGATTCAAATGGCTAGGTGCTGGGTGCTGAAAAGTAATTCTCCAACGTTTCATTTTGAGCAGCACAGTTTTCACAACAAGCTGCTGACACTTCTCATTTCCTGAGTTCGGTTTGTTACTAGCTTCCTGTAGTGTTAATTGGAGAGGGATTTTACAATGCAAATCTTTGGTTGCAGTGTTACAAAAACACCACAAAAACATGTTCTGTTTCCTACCAAATTTCTTTATGCAGAAATAGAAATTCCTGAATCGAACCAAACTTTTAAAAAGCAATTGGTAACCAGGGTGCTTACATGCTGTCACTGATGGTTCAGTATTGCCAATTCTAGTTCAGTGTCTATCAGTGTATGCACTAACATGAAAGTACAGTATGTTGGTTTTACACTGTTAAAAAACTATGGTTATTAATTGTCATTATAAATGTAAGTCATTATTATTAATCTAATTAATCTATACACTGAGCCATCAAATTCCTATTAAAATAATCATTATAAGTTAAAATGGATCTAGATCTGAATTCATTGCAGTCAGATGTACATAAGAAAATCCATTTGACATCAGATAACAACAAAGAACCCCAGTCTTCCATATGCTAAGACTTCAGGTTTTCTCAAAGCTATTGTTTAAATACCAACATTCAAAAATCTAGAAGGCAATTAAGCTTGGTTTCTTTCATCCTATTATCCTGGAAACATAATTGTCCTTATGCAGATATCACTGCCACTGCCTTTTACTGCTCAATATGTAGCAAAGTGGTTAGGTCTGGTCTGGCCTTTTAATGCAAAGGTTTTGGTTTCAAATTTCAGGAAAATGCAGGTAAAGTACAGAACATTGCCGGGGTTGCTCCAATGTGTAAATGAATACAAAAGTTTATAATTAAATTAATGATAATTAAGGTTTGTGGATCACTGTAAATTATAACAGAGTCCATTTAAAATCAATAGCAGGAGGGATTCTTTCCCCAAAGGGTCATGTTGGTGTGGAACAACCTACCCAGCCATGTTTTGGAGGCCTATACGTCAGCTTGTGTCAAGAAACAGCTGAATAAAATCATTGGACCAACAGGCTACTAACTGCTTAATAGGATAGATGGGCTGAATTGTCTCCTTGTGTTTGGAACCTTTCTCATGTTCTTATGTCCCTCACTCATATGAGTTTCCTTGCATGTTCTAGCTCTTGGCCTGTTCCTGCTGGTTACCATGGCATGACTTTGAAAGCCACATGTCAGTGGTTTGGCTTGTGACTGTCCCCACACCATAGTCTTCCAGTGCCCTTAGAAAATGTTGCAAAGATGACTTTATCAGGCTGGAAGTGCAATTACAGTATGTGAAAGTCTAAATCTGATAGAATCATAGACCTCACTGGCCTGGCATCCATACGAATGAGAGAGCAGTAATTAAGAGTGCTAAAAAGAAAGACATATCATTTTCTAAACCTCTCATTAGGTCTGTGTGTGTAGTAGGGCAGGGCTACTCCAGGAGGCCCAGGGGTTCTGAACAGCTAATCTAAATCTGTGACAAAGTGGGTTTCTCAATGGTTTAGAGATTTTAGGTATTTTTTGCCACATGGGCATTTCAGGCCATGGAGAGAAGGATTATCTCCTGTACATATCATGCACATTTGTGAAGTCTTGCGTTTGGCTCTGTGAGGCTGCTTTGAAGGGCAGAATAAACTGTTTCCGTCCATACAAAAGAGTGCCTGGCTAGCTTAACATTCATGCTTTTCTCTCTCGTTGGCTCTCCAAAAACACATCTCACATTCATCTGAAACTCAGCCAGGCCCCCACCAAAACATAACTGAATTCTGGCAGAGGCAGAAATGCAAATCTGTATTTACCAAAGAACACATCCCAGTGAATCTTTAACAGCTCACTGTTTCAACATTCTCTCCATTATGCCAGCACACCCTCAGGCCAATGTGTTGCATGTAGACTGGTTGCAAGTTGTGTCTAGTGTAGTTATGGTAAACAGTGACACCATACTCTTTCATTTTGTTAACCTCTCTGGTGTTGTCATGAAATATTAGGTTGGAATGACATTATATTTCTCTTAAGACACTGTTCAAATGAATAGCTATTTTGTGCTAAATGTAAGCTAGAATTGCCTTCACTCTCTCATAAGCACGAGATGCATGTTTTGGTTTGAGTATTTTCGACGACTCCCTGAACACAGGGTGTTACTTTTTCAATTGCTGTAGTCACATTCATCTTTCATATTTGACTGTTTACCTCACAGATTAGCATGCTTGGTTTAATTAGTTAAACTGAAGAACATATACTTAGTAGCTCGAATTAATCTCTCATCCTACCTACAGTATTTGGCCAGATAACATACAGTATATATTTTACCAAAATCAATGGATAATATTAGAACACAGCATGACGTAAAGTTTATCAGTGAAAACTAAGAAAATAAATGATAAGCACAGGCTCCCACTCTTTTTGTATGTTGAATATTATCTTAAAATTTAAATGTAAAATATTATTTAAAAATTCATAACTTCATTCAGAAACGAAATGCAGTGCTACCTGGGTGAGGAGCAGCAGCTATTGTTCTATGCTTTACATAGTTGAATTAAGAGCTAGCTTTAGGTAGGAGAGACTGTGCAAGGTCAGAGTGGAAATCAGCCAGGAAATCAGGTTTACACTCCTTAGTCTTGCGAACTGTTTAATGACAAAGGAGTCAGAAGCACTTTAACTTGTAGTCCGAAGGAAGCTACCTTCTGCAGCACAGTTATCCCTGTGCTATCCTCTAGCACGGTTATCCCTGTCCCTCCAGTAGAGCATTATCTTGGAAGTTCTGGCCAGGA